CACACACACACACTTGGACACCACTGTGCTTATGTTACACTCCCAAAGTGCAACAAATGCGTCCACTGATTAAAATAGAGAATATTTACACACTGCAAATACTCAAAACTGCAGAAACAGATGAATGAGAGTGTGTGAATGAGAGTGTTTGTGTCAACCACTATTTGAAAAGTTATCTTATCATCGTTATGAAGTATACACAGTTTTTTTTTTCACTCCAACATCTAGGAAACTAAACGTTTTGTATATAAGAAGATCCCATGGGTAAAATATAAGTGCACTGGAAAATTACTGCAAACGACTCCGGAGGAACAATAATTTGCTCTTTCAATTTAGGTTGTAAAAGAACAAACTCTCAAAGTATGCCACGAAAACCCGTATTATAAAACATTTTGCATTAAAATCAGAATGCATTATAGAACTCCACTTGCAGGGGCGGCACCAGATCATTTTTAATGCAGGTGCCAAGGGGGCGCTAGATCATTGACAGGGGGAGCTGTGCAATTATATACTGTATATCATATATACATTCTACCGGTATTAATAAATGAGCAGAACTTGGCCACTCAATATTTAATAATAATAATAATATCACAATTAAAGTTTTAATTGTGCAAGTTGAACCAGCACAACATTCATCATTCAATCAAATATTCTTAAAAGATTTATTATTATTATTATTAATGTTATTTCAACGTAATATCTCGTTAATTCGACATAATATGTACAAGCAAGATGTGCATTTGTAAATCCGGTGACACGTGTGCATTGATTTTTATTAATAAACTAGTGTTTCTGTGTCAGTTTCGGCTGCAAAGATGAAGTTGACGATCGCCATCTTTGTAGTGAACGTGCCTTAATAGAGAAATGCACATAATGGATTACATTATCAGAGAGTAGCCTATTTATTTTTGTTTTCAATTGTTTCGTTAAAAGAAATTTCAAGCTTCCTATAGATATATTTCTCATGTCTGTGAGGCATACGCCGAGTTTCGGTTAATTTATGATGAGATGCGCTCAGTTCACGTGCAATGCAAGTGACCGCGCCGGTGCCACCATGTCATGATTATATTGTCTGCTATATTTGCTTCTTATTAATTAAATCCAGGCAATTGGTTGATTAAAAATCTATTCAAATTAAGATACAATTATACAACACGAAATTCACTTTCGCTTTCTATAAAAGAAAACTTAATAAAGTGGTCAAAATCATGTCTGACCCACTCTATGTCTCCCGATATATATATATCACATCCTATTTTACTCAAGCTGTTCGCTTTTCATAATCAACATAGATGAAAAAAATATATATATTATAATATTTTGACAAAAATGAATCTAAATGCACTTATTTAATGGCTACAACACGTATACTGTAACAGTCTCTCTATTTGTACAAATTGCTGCACTTTCATTTAGTTCTGAATTTTGCACACATAAGTTAAAAGGCATTTGTTGTGCATAGTAAAACATATCTGCAACATTTGTCAAGTTCACAGATAATTGTGTGGATTTATTAATCATTATGATGCTAAATCATAATAAAGTAGGCTATACTGTGTACAAAAGATCAGATGAGCACAGAATATGAACGCAACATGTTTAATTACATGTTAAGCGTTTTCCTCCCATTGAAAACCATTATAAGAATGCTTAATGTGGCTTAATGCAGATTAGACTGTCCCCTTATTATGTTGAAATAACGACTTGTGTCGAAATAATGAGATATTATGTCGAAATAACAGATATTATGTTGAAATAATGAGTAATTATGTCGAAATAATGACTTAAAATAACAAGATATGTTTTCTTTCACCATGTGGTTCAGGGCTGCATAGAATACAGCCTGAATATAATTGCTTCCAGAAATTATTTTTGGGGAGTGCTATCCGGGTGCTTTGGTCTTTCTTGGGGGTTCTGAATCACCTGCTAGCCCCTACAGGCTAGCGCCGCCCATGCAAGTGTTCCTGAACCTGTTTGGCTTCATTTCAGGTTCCATGAATGTGACTCCATTGGAACTCACTGTGTTGAGTGACATCTAACTGTTCTAAACTCACAACACAAAGATCGAAATGGTTATAGATTCACCCAGAAACCTGAATATTTCCATTTTGGCTTTTAATATTTATAGCATTTAGAAACTATAAGGATTGATGTTTAGACTCACTAGCCTAATACCATGATGCAATTCTGGTTTGTCTGCATTTGTATACTGTGCATTCTATATAGTATATATTAGATTATAATTTGTGTCCCAAATCATAGTAAATTGAAAATAGAAAGCATGATTTGTTGATGTACTTTTTTTTCAAAATGTACACTCGTGAATATATTTTTTTCAGCTAATATTGACCAAAATACCTTGAGTTTTGCTGAATTTTATGTTTTAAGATATGAATTTCAGGTAATAAATGCTAATGTGTTAATGTTAATGCAGTGCACTCAGAAGTATACTTCCCTTCTATAGCACACAGTATGCGAATTGGAATGCCGTGCATGTGAGGAACACTAGGCTGTTACTGCCATCTACTGGTGACATGTGCTACTGCATCTGGGGGTCTGCAGAACTGAGCACCCCCTCTGTTTTTGGTTTTTTATAACTAGTACATTGTGTATTTTCGTTGTGGTGACTTTTGTTAGTTATGTTAGTTAGTAGGGTTATTTACCTTCATTCTACTGACCTTTAAGCCCCTCTCTAAAGTATTTTTTTTTAGTCACAGTGAACCCAGGTCTCCAAGGCAATGCTTTATACTTGGATGCCAGCTTTGTAAATGTGTATGTGAGGATGTGCTTTTACAATTTTTGAAAAGTGCCTGTATCTTATGTGCATTCGTACATGGTTTACAGTGTCTCTGTGTTGGTTTAATGCCAAGTGTGTGTTAAATAAGCAGGTGTGATTATGTGATGGGGATGGTAGTGAGGGGAGGGGCTTTAGAGCTCCAGCCCCATATTTAGGGGTGTGGCTTAACCACACCTCAGCATGACATCACAGTCCCGCCCACAGCAGCGCAAACAACTACAGAGCAGTGTCTCAATGGCAACCACACAGCAGAGTTTGTGTTGTCGTTTTTAATTGGCAGAAAAACATCTGCATTGGTCCCTTAAATCACTGACAGCTAAACCAGCCGATTGCTAAATGACGCCAACGCCTGATCACTGCTCATTGGCTATTTCACATTATCGTCATCATTTAGTGATAAATCAACTCTTAAAAGGACAGTCCCTCTCTCAAAGCCATCCTTATTCAATCTTCAAAATGCTCTAATATGTAAAAAGGATAGTTCACCTAAAAATTTATATTCAGTCATTATGTAATCTCATGTCTTTCATGTTACTTTCTGTGACCCCAAAATAGGATATTTAAAAAACAGCTGTTTTAGTCATTAATCAAGTCATTGGGTTCAAAACAACACCGAACCCATTGATTTTAATTGTTTGAAAACACACACACACACACACACACACACACACACACACACACACACACACACACGAGACAATTTTCTAATAAACATCTTATATATACATATATCTTATTCTGTGTTTCAAGTTGTACCTGTTTAGAATGACCTGCGGGTGAGTAAATGATGATTCATTTTTTGGTGAACTATCCCTTTAAGACCCAAAACATACTCTATGCAAGTACATGAATGATTGATTTCTAATATTATTGTATTCTGAAATAGGTTACAATTAATGATAGAAGACATGCATTATTCTAAGCATTGCCACAAGGGACAGTGTTAGCGTAAACTGTTTACGAGTCTTCTTATTCTTTCTGGTCAAAATCAATTACCATTGTGATGAAGCAACAGTGAAATAGTTTGCTGACTTGTTTATCAAGTTACTTGAATAATGAATAATAATAATCTCATTTAATCACACACATTTGAAAATAACACTGTAGAGTGCTGTAGGGATGATATTTTTAGGCCGACCTGGAAGTTAACATCACACTGGTTCCCTTGACAAAAAAGCCAATAGGATTTTTCCATTTACTTTTGGATAACTGCTGAAAATAAGGTCTGTGACAAAAAGTTTGGTTCATTCACGTTTTGATCTTCAAGATAATCTTCACAAATGCACACAACTTTTATGAATTTTAGCTTAGTTTGTGAAGATGATCTTAAAGATCAAAACGTTCAAGAATCAAATTGCCTTTATTAAAGGCATAGTTCACTTTGAAATTAATTTTTGATTTGTTTTATCTTACCTCAAGGGCATCCAAGATGTTGGTGTCTTCCACAGGATTTACAATTTTTATATTTTTAGGTCAAACCGTTCTTGTCTGTCAGTCATATAATGGAGGTCTATGGTCACCACCTCAAAGAGCTTGCACAGAGAAGTCCAAATTAAACATGATTTAATGACTCGTAAATGTAAGTACACACTGATGGCCTAAGACACGAAACGAGCGGTTTGTGTGAGAAAACGAACAGTATTTATACAGTATAGTTTTACCTCTTGTAACCACAGCCACGTCCAAGTGATCTGGAGGCGTGGGTGTTTCGGTTTGCGCAAACGCCGGAAAGCGTCGAAAGTGATCTCTTGCGCGGTTGCGAAAAAAAATCAACGCTGTCTGTTGATGTATCGAAATCGTCTTCCATTGCAATTTCCTGTATATCTAAATTTGTTTAGATCTTCACAGTGAAGGATAACACTGAAATCTCTGTGTAAACGTACGTCACTGAGTGACGTACACGCGCACAACGATGCGCCCGTGCCTTCAAATCATTTGGCTGTGGTTACAAGAGGTAAAAACGATATAAATACTGTTCGTTTTCTCACACAAACCGCTCGTTTCGTGTCTTAGGCCATCAATGTGTACTTACATTTACGAGTCATTAAATCATGTTTAATTTGGACTTCTCTGTGCATGCTCTTTGAGGTGGACCCCATATACCTCCATTATATGACTGACAGACAAGAACGGTTTGACCTAAAAATATTAAAACTAAAAATTCTGTGGAAACAAAGACACCAACATCTTGGATGCCCTTGTGGTAAGCTAAAACATAACAGAAAATAATTTCAAAGCGAAATATCCCTTTAAGAAAATCATAAGTGGGGTATTACTGATGTTTTTTTATGTCCTACAATAAAATGAAAAGTATCTTGAGCCTGTGTTAACCGCAACGCAAACCCATTCAAAAATCCCATTGACTTCGGCACGATGGAACCGGATGTACAAATACACTAACTCATTTCCGGGGTTTAGGACTCATTTACAGCACTCTATAGCTATCTTGAATACTAAGATTTCTTACTTCCACACTTAAGGTACTATGCGCCTACATTGTGTCTGTTTGTATACTTGCATTTAATATGTTTCGTGATCTGACCTGATTCCAGAATCATTATTAAACACGCACAGAAAGGCATTTACTCTCCTGTCATTTCAAGACGTGCTTGGCATCCTAGTGTTTAAGTGCTTATGACTAGTTCACATAAAGTCAAGTGTGCTTGAATGCACCGGCATGGCTCTTTGTTTGCGTGGTAAAGCTATGGGTTTAAGCCTGGATGCACAGCATCTGATCGGAGTAAATGACAGCTTGGTCTTTCTTTTTGAGCCTTTTCAGCACGATATTGCCTCTTGCCTGCCCTTGACTCGTGTCACAATGATATATGAATGTGTAAACTGACAGTATGTCTGCATAGTGCTTCATAAAAGAAGGGTGTCTGCATTTGAGATTTATTATCTGACATGCCAGATAGAGGACCTAGATTTTCATCATTCGATCCCTGATCATGCGCAATGCGCCCACGCAAATTTCTTTACAATTTTTATTATGTGCATGACTGACATGTAGCTGTTGAGATTGAACATTCAAGAAAGGAGTTGAACAGCACCAAATGTTAGGCCATAAAGCAGCTGATATTAGTGTGCGTTTGTGAGTTTACAGCGCTAACAATTGAAATACACCAGCTGACCTCGCGAAACAGAAAGTGCCCTCACAGTTTATCTGACCACACTCAATATCTTACAAACCGCCTTATAAAACAGTCTGATCCATATTTTCAATAACCCACTTATGTCATCTAATCCGACTAATCAAACCCATCTATCTCACAATCCAGCCGATTGCCTTCAAGTCCAACCCAGAAGCCATAAGAACAACTGCCTGACAACTCACAATCCCACATTTAAAGTACAGACACCAAAAATATATTATTTTCAAATAAACTCTCCATATGAAAAACGGACGATGAAGAAAAGCGCCATCCATGCCGTAAAACCAAATGCATAGGCGTCAAAAACAACGTTTTTTTTCAATGGAATTACTGCACATATTTCACCATACATTATAGGTTATTTCCCCAGACACACAGATAAGTGCCAAATATAGAAACACCCCCCCAAAAAAAGGCTAGAAAATAAATAGAAATACCATTTAGAAGAGGACAAATATCATCTCATGGGTTTTAAAGTGTACTATTTTCACTCTTAGATCTCCTTTAGAGAGTTCATCTTTATAAAACCGCTAATTATATTTAATATTAAGACAGTTATCTTCAATATAAAAATATCAAATATAAACAGCGATAGGAAACCAGGGAGATTTGAGGGTCCTTCAATAGTCCTACTTCCTGCTAGCTGTCAATCAATATTTGGACACGCCCCCTCAGTCTGTGCATCTCCATGGCTGTAGTTTTGCTGGTCACCCTTTATATAGCAGTGTCCCAGAAGACAGTGGTTTGGGTGGAGTATGGAGGGGGCCCGTATTTTTTGCCCCCGTTGGTCTTCTTCCAGCTGGGCAGGATGGGCATGCTGTCCTGTTTGCACAGGGCTTTGTCTGAAGGTCTCTGTCTGGATTTGATCTCCTTGCACAGGTGACGTTTCTTCTCGATCATCTCCATCATGGTGCTGTCCCCACATGCCCAGGGCATTGGGGGCATCTAATGGGTGGCAAGGGTGAGACAATGTTGGTGCATGCAGAGCTGGCTTTGATTTTGTAGCCCTTGGCCTTCACATTTGTGAAAGTGAAGCTGTTAACAGCATTCTTTAATCGTAAAAGAAATGTTTAATAATTCATTTTCATTTAAAGTCAGACCAGTCAGAATGTATTGCCGTTCAGTTGAATTATCTTGCACACACAAACACACACACAGCAAAATATTTTAATTGTGGACACGCATATTAAACTGCCCTTGACATGCACCTGTACAAACACAGATTAAAACAATAAACATGTATAAAGGCAACACAAAATCTCTCTCTGTTTCAATACCTAGTGAGCTACACAGGCGGCTGCTTTCTCAATTAATGGCCCTCATGTGAAGCACTAATACTTTAGTTTGTTTTATTTTTTATTAAAGGAGTAGTAGCAAAAAAAACTTTTGCTGATAATTTACTCACCCCCATGTCTTCCAAGATGTCCATGTCTTTCTTTCTTCAGTCGCAAAGAAATTAAGGTTTTTGATGAAAACATTCTAGGATTTTTCTTCAATTGGGCACCAAATGGTTTAAGGTCCAATAGACAGTTTCAGTGCAAACTTCAAACTGTTCAAATGGCTTTAAATGATTCCAGACGATGAATAAGGGTCTTATCAAGCGAAATGATCACTCAAAACATTTTAAGTTTTATACGCACAAATGCTCGCTTTGCTCTGTTCTGTGATGCGCGTTTGTGACTCTCCTGTTTGAACTCGTTCATCAAAATGAACAAATCTTTTTCTGAGTCAATTCGTTTATTTCGTTTGTTGAATCAACCAAATAACTCGAAAAGAGATTTGTTCATTTTGATGAACGAGTTCGAACAGGAGAGTCACGAGCGCGCATCACAGAACAGAGCAAGGCGAGCATTTGAGCTTATTAAACTTAATTTTGTTATTTATTTTTTAAATTAGCGATCATTTCACTTGATAAGACCCTTATTCATCGTCTGGAATTGTTTAAAGCCCTTTGAGCCCTTTTGGACCTTGAACTGTTTTGTTACCAGTAAAATGCATTAATGTTTTCATCAAAAACCTTCATTTCTTTTCGACCGAAGAAAGAAAGACATGGACATCTTGGATGACATGGGGGTGAGTAAATTATCAACAAAAGTTTTTTTTTTTTTTTTTTTTTTTAAAGTGAACTACTCCTTTAAGTCAAGTTTAGAACCATGAAATCAAAATGGACAATTCTTGATTTTGTTTTTTATTTAGTAGTATTGATTAATGAACCAAAAATGAATGTGCCCTCATAAACTTTAATCAAAAATATAACTAAAATGCATACGAGTTGAGCGGAGTTGAGCATTTTTGGGTGAACTATCACTTTATTTAGAAAAAAAAATAACAAATTTTTATTTATAATAAGCATACATGCATAATTTTGGGCAAAACAAGGTTTTAGAAGACTGCGTAGTAAAGTTGCCATCATAAAATGAGGTATTGCTGACTGGGTTTTGTAACAGAGCATATTCTTCAGGCATGCACACACACGTACAGTACACACTTAGCCTACACACATACAGCAAACACACACACATTTGTGCTTTTGAGGAAGGAAGTAGCAGATAGACACAGAAAGTACAGTGGACGTGGAAAAGTAGACAATTTTGACAAGGTTTTATTTAGATTTCTGCTTTGTTGGGGTTAGTTTTATCCCTCGATTTTAAGATTTATTTGGGTTAGTTCAATTACAGTCACTAACAATCAAACACACTGGGGAGTGAGAGTAGATCAGACATCCTAAACATACTAAATGTGTTGTCTGTTATAATATTGAGTATAGTACATAGTATAATAATATTGTGTAATACATTTTTTATTGTAGTATATTACCGAATAGTTTTGTATTGTACGTTACCTATAAAATAGAGTGTGTGTTCACAGTAGCTTTCATCAGTTGTGATTTAAAGAACATGCCTTGGTGAGTTGGTGTAGTGAGTTGTGTAGCTGACTCCCCAGTCTCTGTGAAAGTGATGTTGACGTGGAAAACAAAGTTATTATTACAGGATTTTTGTACATAATTCAGCGTAGCTCTAAAAACCCGCTCAAATAAGGCCGCACAGACAAACAGGAGAGAGCATATGACACGTGACATTGATATAAATGCCATGTCTAGATACAACGCATTCTCATCCTAGGGCGTCATATAGTGACATTGCAATGCATATCCAACGCACATGGCACTCTTTAGCGTCAATATAACACGCGTCGGTTATAGGTAGGTTTAGGTCTGGGTTAGGCTTAGACCACTAGAAGGCGCCTTCTAGGAGGGAATATATCTGCGTCTCATATTGACGCTAAAGGGTGCCATGTGTGTTGGATGTATACGCATTGTGAAAAGCGTCCGTATATGGCGCCTTGGGATGAGAACGGGCTGCTAGATGCATATATACACACATCAAACAGCCTTTAACTGGGGGTGTTTTGAGGAAACTGTCAATTATTCAATCAAAGTCGTGATGATGTCTATGCTTTGGATTCGGGATCCTGCTCTTAAGAGTGAGTTTTCTCCCATTTTATGGTATCAGCTTCTGTGTTTGATGTCTGTACATGTGAGCCAAGCACAACATCTGAAACATTGTGATATAGACGACACAGACTTGAGGAAGCTGCTGGTCGAGAGTAAAGCTGTCCTCCGGCGCTCTGAAAAGCTTCTCATTCAGATTCAGACCTTTTCTTAAGTGCCAAACCTGCCTGGTATATAAAACCCTGATTGTGGATCTCTTGGCACAAGCTCACTAAATGTGAGAGCCTCTTCAGAGCGCGATGGGAAGGCAGCCCTGATCTGGACCGGACACAAACAACACACGCATACACATCTACGTTGACAGACGATGAACGCCGTGAGCCAAACGAAATGCACGGCAGCAGAAGCAGCAGACAGAACAGGATAAACGCATAGCCGTGGGGTCAAAGGTCAAAGACATGAAGGTATTGGCTGGGTAGATCGACAGACGCATGCGATCTCTCGCTCATTCTGAGGAATAAGGGGGTTGTACCTGGAACGGGGTCCCGCACTGGTGGGCGGAGGCATCGGGGGTGTGTCTTTGGGGCGTTCCCATAGGGGACGGGACTCCTGACGTGGATGCGGAGCGGCCGAGTTTACACCCGGCTTTTGTTTCTAAAAAGGAAGAGAGTGTGAAAATGAGTATCTAAAATCAGCATCCTTATTTGTTTTTATCTGATTGTCTGTCACATGGACAGGACGCACCCCCAAGCATGGTGGTCGGGCTGACGGAAGAGCGGCCAAGACGAGTGGGCGTGGCTGATTGTCCAGTGGGCGTTTCCCAATCCTGTGATTTCGGAGAAGAGCTACGGAGGGCTCGGTCCCTACTGTCACTTCTGCCTTTACTTTCACCTGGAAGAGAGAAAAAGAGGTAGAGTTTTCAGAATTCAGTAAAAGTCTATGTGCCTTGACATCAATGATTGCGGTTTCATGAATAAGTGCTTTGTTTTGTACTAGTGCTGCAGTTCATGCATATTATTGTTAGATGGGCCTAAACAACTTAGTGTAGCAAAATATCATAGTGCTGCTAGTATCATTTCTGCATGCAGAGCAAACTTGGTATACTATCCCAAAATGCAATGCATTTCCATTTCCAATGTGAGAAACCAGAAATTCTAGTAAGAGTAATTAAAAAACAGTTTTGATTTATTATTCGATCATCACAAAAAGACAGTTCAAAATTATATATATATATATATATATATATATATATATAGGGCTGTGCAAAAATTAATTGCGATTAATCGCATACAAAATAAAAGACTGTGTTTACATAATATATTTGTGTGTGCTGTATATAATTATTTTGTATATATAAATACACACACATGCATGTATATATTTAAGAAAATGTGTTATTCATATATAAAATATTTATATTTATATAATATAGATTATGTATTTATATATATATATATATATATATATATATATATACAGAATTCAAGCGCAAATAATTCTTAAATATATACATGCATGCATAGGTATTTATAAATAATTATATACAGCACACACAAATATATTATGTAAACACAGACTTTTATTTTGGATGCGATTAATCGCAATTAATTTTTGCACAGCCCTAATATATATATATATATATATATATATATATATATATATATATTAAATATATAATATATATATATATATAAAATAATTACTGTACATGATTTGCTATATCAAACATGAAAAGTAATTGTCAAATAAAAACTAGAAACCTAGTTTTATAGGGCTACAACTTGGAAACAAGCTTTTTATAACATCCGTCCGGAAGTCAGTGAGTTTAGTTAAATGCCTGAAATAAGATCTGTGGTGAACACAAGATCAAGATATTTTCATGTTTTATTCTATGACATAAAATACATCTGTAATACTTCCCTGAGATTTTGTAAAGCTTTTAATTGTCTTGAAAAACGATTGCTAATGGCTAATTGGGGATACAGATGTGGTCGGGGACATTAAACATCATCACTGCGAACATGGCGTTCAAGTCATGTGATCACAATGCAGTTTGTTTTGAACATTTTTAGTATTTAATGAATATTGTAAACGAAGAGAAAATATTTTTTACACATTCCCTATGCTTAAACTTATTTTAACCTATTTTTTCGTCTTTCGTACAATCAATCCCTTTTTATTTTCCATTGCATTTCTTTCTTAATCTCTCTCTCCTCACAGGGGATCCATTAGCAGTCACATTCATCACGTCTTTCACTGGCTCTGAAGACATTAGGGAAATTGCTTTACTAACAGATGAAAGCTTTTCAATTATTTCAGCTGGCAAGAGTATCTGAATGCGTATCTGTATCGTCCATATAGATGTGTGCTAGCTATATCGTCTGACACTTATGGGTGTATGAATTGAAGGTGACATCAGACTATGTCATCAGTTTGTGTGTGTGTGTAATGACTTAAACCTTATGTTAATAACAGTCATGAGCTACTTCAGTTCATTTCAGTTCATACTGCATTGAAACTAGGGCTGAATCTCTATAATACAGAATCTCTCAATTCAGATTTCCCTCCCCTCATCAAGTGTTTACTGTTTTAAATACTGTATATCAACTTGTGATTGCAAGAAAAAAGGCAGAATTGTTTTTTTAAGATATGATAAAGCAAGTTCCATTTAAAAAAAATACTATAAACCAATTAGCATTCTTTTAGCGGTTCTCATCTGTGTGTTTTCCGTTACATAATTTACAGCATGGAACAGTCCTGTACAACTCCTGAATGAGCCGATTCTTTTTAGCGAATCAAAAACCTACCGTACAATAGAGTGAATAGTTTAAAGAATTGAGATAGAATTCTTTTTTTCATAAAAGTAACTAAGAGTGTCCCTGCTATCCTCTGCTGACTTTGATAAGGTTAGCTTATTTTTCATTATGGACTCACATTGCTCCTCAAAAACCTTATTTACCATACTTTATCTCTCTGGAAACACACACACACACACACACACGCGCGCGCGCTCTGTTGTCTGGCCACGTCTGTTGAAATCCCATTAGTCTGTGGTGTCCTGCTCCATTAGTCTACATTTAATTAGTGTCCACTGTCATTAGCGTTGGGTGCTAATGCTAAGACTGCGACAAATTTATCATATTTACGTATTAACATGCACATGGTCAGTGCCTGGATATAGTCTGCTTAGACACTGTGTGTGTGTGAGTGCAAGTCCATTAGCGGAGGAAATTTTAGGTGTGTGTTGGCAGGACTGTGTTCTTGTCAGGGTCAGATTGTTCTACAAGGCTCCTCAACTAACAGCAGCCAACATAGAAACATGTTCACCTCATTCAGTTAGAGTGAGATGCCAGGCCAAATACCTTTTGGCACTCAGAGGTAATGGACATAAACAACACCACTGAAACAAGGCTAAAAGGCACAGCAGGAGAGAGCCAAACAAGAGGCCGGTTGTAGTTTATCTCCAAGGTCCTTTTTTAGGAATCAGCAGCCGACTGAACCAAACCTCCTAAGACACACTTTATCGATCATTTGTTTAGAATTACAAGTAAGGCACTTTTTTAGGTCAAGTCAAGTCACTTTATTTATATAGCGCTTTTTACTAGGGGTTGACCGATTATCGGCGCCGATATTAGGGTTGGGTATCGTTTGAATTTGAACGATTCTGATTCCGATTCCGATTCCTTGTTTCGATTCCGGTTCCTAACGATTCTCGATTCCGATTCTTTTAAGAGACAGGGTCAAAAAAGTTTACCTAACCTTGCCTTTCTGAAGGAAATAATTCTTTCTGAAGGAAATACTCCTTCTGTAAAAATACTCCTTTTGTCACAAATTTTGCATTTTGCCGAGATTTCGTTATTTTTAGAAAAGTGAAGCCACACTTTGGATCGCCGACGTAAGGTACTCATGTTCGACTCGCGTGGTTATGCCAACACTTCCGGTAGACGCTTCTTCGTTGGTGTTGTTCAGCGGTTTCTTCTTCTGTGAATATCGAAACTAGGAATCGAAATTTTAACTTTTGAACAATGAAAAACGAAAAGTTAATCTCGGTTCCAATCGATACTCGATTCTCGATACCCAACCCTAGCCGATATTAAGCATTTTTATGGTTATCGGTATCGGCCATTTTCAAAACCGATTTTCCGATAAAATAATTTTATTTTTAAATGCGCTATATTTGGCTCTAACGCATCCACATCTGTCGGAACTCACCACTCTGTAGACTAGCCTAATGTGATTTGTTAAAAGCTGAAAGTTTTGCACTCTCACACCGAAAGCACTTGATGACTGGAGCTGCTTCACTGATCATCAGTTGTTAAGTTAAGTTAAGGCAGCAGCTGAAGAAACAATAAATTACTACACTGAAGTTGCAAAATACCTCAATATAATAGAGCCCTGTGTTTTCTGCGATGTAGAAAACAGACGAAATCCAGTCATAAAAACGTATTCATTTACTGTAGTTTGTCAACTTTTTGATGAATTAATAAAAAGCAGGTAAGTTCAAATCAAATTAAATTTCCAACCACAAAAAGACTATTTAAATATGAATCCTGCGTGTCTCTAAATGAATGGCGCAGATGCGTGATTTAATTCAGAAAAACAGAGCAAAAACTTTTTTCAATGAAAAATGATCTCGTAATTCTGAGACAATTAACTCGTTAATTCAGAAAAACAGCAAAAACTTTTTTCCATGAAAAATAATCTTGTAATTCTGAGATACTTAAATTGCTAATTCAGAAAAACAGATTCGATTTTTTTTCCTCAAGTGAATGCAATACGCTTCTGTACAAATATGCAAAAGATGCAGGAAAACTGAAGAACAGATTTTTCTGAAGAACATTGGGCAGTTTAACTGCTCAGGACAAACAAGGGAACCATCACAAAAAACACAGTTGTGGATCATGCCGTTAACGACACAGTATTAAGAATCAAAAATAAACCTTTGAACAGGGTCTTATAATTTCTGCTATTTATTTATTTATTTATTTTTTTGTCTTGTGGACTATGTGAACATCTTTGTTAAATATCTTACTCAGGACAGTATAATGATGTAATATAGAGAATATATGGAAGTGACAGAATCCATGGTGCCATAGAGGCAGAATAAAAGAAATAGAAAAAAGTGATGTCATAAAAAAGCTCTGAGCCAGAATTACATTTTCATAATGGAAACTATAATGTATGCCAGTATTTTGTTGCACTGGAGCCAGTTTGTCGCTCATTCTTGGAAGATCCTGATCAGAATTTCTTCTCAATCATATTGACTGTTTTCAGCCTGACTGAGAACCTGATCTGCCATTATGGGCCCAATGTAAGCACTTCTGTGCCTCTAATTTATGATAATGTATGCCAACCTCAGAGCTATAATGATGAGGAAATATATCATTATTAGTATATGTTAATGTAACCTTAGAATATGTGAAGTTACTCAGACACTTTCATTTCAGAAACTATTAAGCTATTCAGTGCTGCAGGGAAAGCACTATTGAATTTAAATACAGCTGCATACATTAAGACATAACAGTAGACTGCTCTGCGTTAAGGCATATTTAGAGCTATTTATGGGCACTGAAGGGCATAATAAAAACAAACTCATATTACATTTAAATTAGACTGATCCTTAAGACAGATTAATGCACATCGCGTGCCACTTGACTTTGGCACAGGTTCAGACTCTGTATGCCTTTCTGGCGCCGAATGGTGTCATGCTGAGTAGTAGAATTTCCTAACAGGATTTGGACCGGACTAACTGGCCCGAACAGGAAAAGCTCTGTCTATGATTGTTTTATCTCTAAATTTGTGTTTCTGAAAATGCCAATCACAGCCCAAGCGTGGACTGACTTGGCAGCTTTTGATATGAGATCTGTAGATTTGAAGAAAGAAGGCTTATTCAATCAATGGATAATATGTTTTCTTTACAAACCTTGGCTTTCAGGGTTTTTTTAAAATGAAAATTAATAGCCGGCTCCTGAAAATATCTCTAAATCAGATTAAAAACAGATAATAAACATTTATTTTAAAGAAATTTCATTCAGCAAGAACACTTCCGATTGTTTCAAATTCAAAGTTGTTATTTCTAGTTAAAGCAACACCAAGTAACTTTTCCTCTGCGGTCGCCCTACGGGTTGGAAGCGGAATTGTCCATTACTGCCGTCGTAAATAATCTCTATAAAACCTTTTTATATAAAACCTACTGTCGCACGCACGCTCGTTGTTTATCCAGCACTGGCTATGGAATGAACGATGTTCATTGAATAACTGCTATGCTAAATAGATGCTACAATACTCTATCCTGATCGTTTTCAAAACTCGTAATTCCAACTCTTAAATCGCAGTGGTTTTGAGAGATGGTTCCCACTGCAGAACATGAAATCCACGGGGAGGAGTCGGATCCAGATCCAACTCTTCCCACCTTACATACACCTAAACCTACCCAACTCTCCCCCCCGATCCTTAAGCCCACCCCTAATCCCTAAACCCAACCCTAATCCTACCCATCTCCACCCCTTGGATCTTGATCCGACTCCTCCCCGTGGATCTCATGTACTGCATTGAGGTGCTACTGGGTTTTGACGAAACAAGATGAGTTTTAAACTGCCGAGAGCATTGTAGCTAGTACCAAGAGCGTGGTGAGCTGAAACCTGCGTACGTCACAAAGAACCGCAAACATCCAATAGGAAAATTCAACTGCAGTAGCCACCGTTCAACCTGAAGAGGGCAGCACTAAGACGTTTTTACACCATATATTGTAGTTACTCGAATCAATGATCAGCATTAAAAAAAAGCGCCATTCTTACAGATCATTAATTAACTAAAAAAAAAGTTGGTTTAGGGTTTAGTTACCCTTTAATAACAAGGAATGTTTTTTGAGCACCAATCACCAATGATTTCTGAAGGATCATGTGACTCTGAAGACTGAAGTAATGATGCTGAAAATTCAGCTTTGCATCACAGGAATACATTATCTTTTAAAATACGTTTAGATAGAAAACTGAACTCTGATCATGATCTGATATCTGGCCAAACACATCTGTGTATCCTAGCAGAGTGATGTTGAGCTGTATAGATACTGTGTTTTGGATCACAGTGGCAGATTCTTCACTATCTCTCTGTCTTTTCACTCTCTGTGTCAGGCAAACACACATGCACATACTAATGCCGGCAGCCTGTTAATCTCACACACCTCCACACTCTGTCAGGCACGAAGCCCAAGTCACAGATGTGTGGAAGACATACTGACAGGAGGTGCCCGTGTGTGCGTTTGTGTCTCTCCGCTGGACTGGCTAGCGGAAAATTGACTGTGATGGACAGACTGACCTGCTTCAGAGTGTGTTTGTGTGTGTTTTTGTGTACCTGTGCAGGTTTGAATTTTTATGACAGTATGTAAAGAATCTGAAAGTGTTTTTTTGTGTGTGTGTGTCGAGGCTTCAACATGACAGCTTTGACTCGTTAATCTGTTAAGTGTTTTTTCTGAATTAATTTAATCATGATTTGAAAGGCTCGTGAGAAAGCCATTGAACAACCCTTACAACGCAACAATCCGGCGACCTTCGCAATCGACGGTGTGCTTGATTTGAAGAGGCTCGGTTTGGTATGGAAGAATCTGGGTCATTTTCTCTCTCTCTCTCTGTCCTGTGCACCATAAGCACGCTCAATAGTCTGTGCGTAGGTTGATCGCTCAATTTTTAATCTCCAAACGAGCTCAAACACACAGACACACCTGGGGTGATGGAAGTGGACTGTGGAAATAGGACATGAAAGCCATCTCTCCTCCTCACACGGGAATAAATAACAGTCTGGAAAAAAGTCCTTAGCTGCAGCTCTCAAGACGATTACACGCGCTCTTTAAACCCAATCAGGCTTTGCTCTATGAGACAACATCCTTCACTTTGAAGTTGTTACTGATATGGCCAATCACCTCCAGATATCTCACAGTTAACCTTAACAATTTCAGTATTCACTGGGTTTAAAATGTGTGGATTAATTAATTAAAGGCTTTAGTGCTTTTCTTGGTTGCTTATTTTCTACTGGGGATACACTGATATAAAAATTGTGGTCTATGTTAATAAGCTGGCAATTATTGAATTATTAATATTCTGGGTTCAATCTCAATCGACAGCTCATTTAACTCCATTGTAAGTGTCTCACTGTAACTCAGATTCATTGTTTTTTGTAAAGAAAAGGAGGGAGAAGTTGAAATTAATCAACCAACCTCGTAAGACCTTCGTTCATCTTCGGAACACAAATGAAGATATTTTCGATTGAATATGAGAGGTGGATCACTGCTACATAGGCTCCTAAGGGATCGAATCTTTATTCGGCTATTCCTTTTCTTCCTTGTAGGCCTGAGACGAGAGTTCGAGACGTGCGCATACATCGTGGAAATCTCTTGAACTCTCGTCTCAGGCCTACAAGGAAGAAAAAGAAAGGTAAAAAAAGTATTCTCTTCGCTTGATAAACTTATCGTTGAGCCACTGTAGTCACATGGAATATTTAAACATTTTCTTCAATGACTTTCTGGGCCGTCAAGTTTCAATCCCCTTAGGCAGTCTATGTAGCAGTGATCCACCTCTCAAATTTAATCAAAAATATCTTCATTTGTGTTCTGAAGACGAACAAAGGTCTTACGGGGTTGGTACAGCATGGGGGTGAGTAATTAATGACTTCATTTTCATTTTTGGGTGAACTAACCCTTTAAATAAATGCATGAAATACTTTTTCATGCATTTATAACATTTTCACTCACCATCTGCAGAGTCTTTGTTCTTACGGCTTCCAGAACCTTTCTTCAGCATGTTGCGTCCGGAAGAGAACAAGTTGCTGAGCTCATCCAGAGGACTGGTTGGTGTACGACAGCCTCGACCTCCCGACCCCGAGCTTGAACCCGAAGCAGTGGAGACATTTTGCATGGAGCCCCCGTGCACACTTGAGGAATTCGAGAGCCGCCCGCTTTCACGTGATCCGTGTGCAACTCCGGAAGCGCTGCGAGGAATCGTCCCGGTCATGAGGGCATCGTACGGCGGGGGGCGCTTCAGGGTGAGTGGCGTTAACGCACGACCCATACTGACGGGGGACGGGCAGGCGGAGTGGCTCCGGGGGTACCCGTGTGCCGCGGACGACCCACCGCTTTTGTACAGCGTAGATGTCAGGGGGGGAGCGGAAGACCGTCCTGATGCTGTGATTGTTTGTTGCTCCTTAGTCTCTGCTGACTTCTTCTTATGATGATGATGGTGGTGGTGGTGGTGTTTACCAGACACCTGCTGAGCCTCCAACTGTGGTCCAGGGTCAGCGCTAGTTGGGGATCCACCGGGTTTGACATATCCGACGTTGTCCAACATGGGCAGTTTGGTGACATCCAGAGGAGTAAGAGGAGATTCGTCAGAGTTGGGGGAACACTGGGCTGGTGCAGGTGGGAACACTAGTAGAGGAGGGCGGTGGGAAAGCAGATTTGGGAACGGGGCAGGAATGTCACAGAGTGAACCACGTGGAGTAGTGGGTCGTGTAAGTTCTACCTCCGGCACCAAAGGAGTGGGACACTGCTCCCATCGTGACTGTCCGTGGTCTAAGGATGAAGGCAAATCGTCATAAACAGGATATTTCATCTCCTCGTACACACTTTCACCTTGGTCATCCTCTTCATCGCCATTAGCTCCGGCAATTCGACTGAAGTCCCGTAAGATATTCCCCACCATCTCTATATAAACAGGCTCCGCCTCATCGTCAGTGGCGGGGGCGGGGCTTTGATTCTGAGACGCCGACTTCTTTTTTTGTCGCGGCAGAGAGGCAGATTTAACCTTGCTGCAGTGGTTTTGAATGTAAGACTCGTCAAAAGATGTGCTGAGCTGCGTGTTGGGGTTGCGTTTGGGTTTTGGCGGAGGCATGCGACGGTACTCCTCACTGCAGGGCCGGGATTTAGATGCTGTGGGCAAGAGAACGGAGATGTTTAGAAATATGGATTTAGCATTTCACAGAAAAATTATTTACATTCTAAAAAAGAGTTGATTTAAATGTATCCAGTATGTCCCATTAAGCTTCTTTCTACAAGATGTAAAATAAGTCTCAGATGTCCACAGAGTGTGTATGGGAAGTTTTAGCTCAAAATAGCCCTCCGATCATTTTTTATACCATGTTAAAATTGTCACTTTTTGAGGGTGAGCAAAGACACACTGTTTTGGTGTTTGTCCCTTTAAATGCAAATGAGCTGCTGCTCTCGGGCGGAGCTTCAAGGGCTCCTGCTATCGTTTCTGAATGGTTAGTTTATGAATTTATGTAGCTAGCTGATGTTGAGTTAAAGTCGGCATAAAATCAAATTGGACAAATCTTCAAAACAACCTCTCTTCTATTTTAGGTCATGTGGAATGTCGAAAGGGTGTGGCCAGATCCGACGAGGGTGCGGCTATCAGTGCTCCGCCTCTCAGAAAATCGCATTCAAATCTGCCTCCATTTTGTTTGTAACGCCCAACCTCCAACGATCCAGTCAATTCCCGAAGGGCAAAATCAAGCCCTGCCCTACATTTTTTTCTAATTTCAGAAGCCGTTTCACTCGGATATACGTCACGACAAGGAAAAAATTACAATCTCAACTTCCGTTTCACGCCGACTTTAACTATCTTCAAGTCATTGATTAGCATATTCTGTCATGATAATCTATAAATCGCTTGTGTGGGAACTGTACTGTTGTAAGATGCCTACATAGTCAGAGAATATGCAACATGAAGATAGAGCAGGTATATGATTTAGTTTAATTACGGTTATAACGTATGTTGTCATCTTGCTTTTATAACATGCTATAGCATTTTTGTTACATACTGTATTAAATGTGACTCTTCTACAACAACTTCTACAATTTTCCCAGGAGAAGGTTTTATGTAAATTTTAGGGTTGGGGATGTCACAAACCCGTGAAGAAGCTCATTGTAGTTTCTACCAGCCATTTGTTGTATTCCTTAAAAAGCTATTTCTGTACAAGAAAATCTCTCCCTTTGATTTGAACTTTGAGCGTCATACTCGTAACTTTGCAGATGCTGTTAATGCTCAAACAGCCGCATTACACACTAACTATAAAGTTATAATCGACCACCCCTTTAAGGACCTATTGTTGGATCATCATTGCAGTGATTATTATGTTTCTAGCATATGTTTCACACATGAATTGGCACCTCTGAGTCCAGATCTCAAATTCATTGAAAGTATTTGGGATGCGCTGGAGTAGATATACAGAGTGCTTTGACATTTGACTAAAAATGTATGTACCTCTTGATGTAAATAACATCACTTTATTTCCATCAAGAGGTGCAATATATATATATATTTATTTTTGCACAACAACTAATATAACGTAGCAGAAGCATAAAAGTAAAGCACTGCCAGCCCGATCTCATGAAAGTTCGTATCTATGGCACGAATGTGATTTCTCGTGGCATTTATACGCCAAAAACAGTTTTTGCGTGTATGATACGCACGAACTCCCCACCCCCTTCCCCCCTAAACCTAACCCAGGGTTTTTTAGTGCGTACCACATACACGAAAAAAAACACTTTTGCCGTATAAATGCCACGAGAAATGACACTCGTGGTATAGATATACGCATCTTCATGAGACTGTGTTGGCACTGCAGTATAGTAATAAGGTGTTAACAGTGTCATTGTGGCCATGGCTTAGCAGAAGTGTAGCAAAGTCAGCGTGTATTAGTTTTAATGTCAGTGCTATCCCCCAAAGCCGTATGGGGCTGCACAGGGCCATTACTATTCTATTGTGCACGTGATGGTTTCTGACGCTTCTGCTCGCTCTACATCCCACCACTGCCCTCTCAGTCCAGTCACTAATCCTGAATGTGTGTGGTTATGAACTGACTTAATAGGCTTCTCCAAGGACTTTTTAGTGAGAATAGAGTTTAACACTCTGCTTGAGACAGGATTAATTATACACAGTTGAGATACCAGTGCTGAGAAACGAAAGAAGCAGGTCGTGCTCGGTGTGTGTGTGTGTGTGTGTGCAACTTTGCTCCCTAAACACTATTCACTGCTTCCTGCACACTGAGTAATAATAAGTCATACATCTTTATAGATATTATGGATAAACAGACAAATGGCCTATGTGCAGTCTTGACTATGATAATTATCTCTCTCCTTCATGTGAACGGATATATTAGTGTACGTACACTTATTCCCTATGCTGAGTAACCAGTGCAGTGCACTTTGAAGGGTGTGCTACAGCCAATAATGGGTGATGTTAGCTTGTAGATATGCTGGGCTTTGCTTTCTGACTGTGGTGGGAGGAGTTCATGGAATAATCAAACAGGCAGTTTCCTTCACTGGAGGGCGGCGAGGAAGAACTAGAGTGGACAAAACTAGGTCATTTTAACTTCATGAATGAATTTCTTCCTGACTAATCATCTCAGTGGAAACAACTGTTTCAATTTCTTTTTCACCCTCCCCCTCTTGTTTACTCACTCGCTCATACTCCATCTTTCTGTCATTTCTCTCCACATCACCATAGCTGGGCTCAGTGAAGGGCAACTTGACTGACCCGTTTCTTCCAGCAATGGCAGGGCGGTGTGTGTGTGTGTGTTTGAGTCTATTCTCTTACCAACAGCAAGCACAAGTAATAGTTAATGGGTCAGCATGGGAAGAATGCTAATTTTTAATCTTCCATTAAGCTGGCTGAAGCTATAATTACGTCATTCTCTAGAGACTCTGGATCCCTGTGTGTGTGTGTGTGTGTGTGTCTTTTTGTTATGTAAAGGACATGACAGGGGTTTATATCAGCTTTTCTCTGATACACAGATGAAAAGTCAGCAAGAATGACTTAACGTATCATTCAGAGAAAGATCACAGTACCTCACCCTAGTGACAGAAAGGGGACAGAGTGGCTCGCATTCTCTCAACAATTTTACATACAAACTTGCAAAAACCTCCCATATACTTCTTCTGGTATAAATTTAGTTGATTGTAATTTCTGCACCATAACCCGAAGTGGCAGCCCGTTCTCATCCCAAGGCATCATCTAACTGACGCTTTTGACCATGCTTCAACGTCCAACCCTTTAGATGACGCTATCCTAGTGGTCTAACCCTAACCTTACCCCAGACCTAAACCTACCTGTATCATCTAACTGATGCTAAAGGTAAAGCATCAGTCAGATGATGCCCTGGAGGGTCATCTAACTGACGCTAAAGGGTGCCTAAAGCGTCGGATGTTGAAGCATGGTCAAAAGTGTCAGTTAGGTGATGCCTTGGGATGAGAATGAGTTTTAAACGTTCACACTGATAACAATTTACAAAGACAAAGCACAAACCCAGAACTCAATCATTTTCAATAAAAGTTAGAACTTTAAAGCAACACGAGCAATAGTGATCATTGCAATGCAAAAGAGTTGAAATAAAAAACAAATGTAAGATCAAATAAAAAAGGTTGCAAATAAATTATTTGCCTTTTTTTTTTAAATAAAAGAAAGTTTATTATGGAAGCTTGTTTCCGTCACTTAATGAAAAATAAAAAAAGGTAATTGCGAATTTTTATCTCACAAATCTGACTTTTTTCTCAAAATTGCGAGATATAAAATCAGAATTGCGAGTTATAAAGTCAGAATTGCGTGTTATAAAGTCAGAATTGTGAGATATAGTCGCAATTGAGTGTTATGAAGTGAGAATTGTGTGATAAAGTCAGAATTGCGAGATATAAACTCTCATTTGTGAGAAAAAAAGTCAGAAATGTGAGATAAAAAGTCGCACTTCTGTCTTTTTTTCTCACAATTGCGACTTTATTTCTCACAATTCTGACTTCATATCTCGCAATTGTGAGATAAAAAATCGCATTTATTTATTTATTTTTTATTCAGTGGTGGAAACAAGCTTCCATAGTTTATAATTTATAAAGGGGGGCCTTTATAAAAAAAAGTGTGTAAAGTTAAAGATACAGTGTTTCAGATTTTTTTTTAGTTAGTAATGATATTTTAACTAAACAAAAAATATGTTTGGAAAAATAGTAGGCCTATTGATATTGTTTTGAAAATGATTAGGTCTCAATTTTTATGATTGCTGCCGATGCCCCCTGCTGCAGACGGCATGAAAATCATTATGTCTATAGAAAGTCCCCATAAAACCTGTGTGTGTGTGTGTGTGTGTTATAAGTGAATCTGATGACTGTGACATGGCAAAATAGGGCACTGTGTTCCCGAGGACAGCAGGTGCGTGCTGTACCTTCCTCTCACAGCACATTTCTCTCTCTCTCTCTCTCTCTCTCTCTCTCTCTCTCTCTTCGTGCAGAAACCTTCTCATGATGTTTTTCCCATCAGAGCTCCATCTCTTATCTAGTATTACACCGCTGATTTAATATAGATGTTTATCTGTTTGTGTGTGTACGATAATGCACTTATATTGATTTCCCTCTAAATTAGAGGTGAAATAGTCTCGCCAATGAGATATGCATCACAGATATACGCCTATAGGGACGCCAGATGCCACATGTCATTAAGTTTAATACGATGCTGTTTAAAGAACACTGGTTATGATTTATTAAGGTTTCACATGTATGTCACTAGCTCTGTCTCAGTGCTATATAGGACATACATGTTCCCATGACACTAGGTCAGCATAACACTCACTAACATACACATGCATGCCATCACACATGCTCACACTCACAGGGATCTAATGGAGGAATAAATAGGAATATATTTAGAATTAATTAGTTTAAAAAAGGTACTACTACTACATTTCCATGTTTTTGGATGTGCATCAAATAATATCAAATATCAAAAAAAAAAAATCAATACTATGGTCGTACCATGGTAAAACCGTATCCGATGGTAAGACCATAGTATTTCATTTTTTTTTTGTTTTTGTAAGAGGAATCACATGGAGGAAAAAATAAGATATAATCAGATGTACTGAATGTAGATGGTACTGTATGTACCGTTATACCGTGTTTTTTTGGATGGTAAGTCCATAGTATACTTTGAGGTACAGTGTGGTATTAAAGCATTTCTATGATATATATCAAAGTACCATGGTTTTACCATCTATTATTGTGCCATGATGGTATCACCTAGTTTGAGTAGTAAAAAGAAAGACAAATGGAGAGAGAATTTTCTATAATAGCCTACTGTTTTTTGGACATAGTTATGCTATGCTAATGTCGGTATTAAAGTTCCTTGTATGTACAAAATCCATATATGAATATGGTATTCAATCAGTACTGTGGTATTTATCAAATCATGGCAAAACCATGGTGTTTTTTTGTATTAGGAATCATATGGAGAGTATATAAAAAGAGGTATATAATCAGATATACATAGAGTACCATGTATAACCATTTTTTTTCGTATACATATGGTTATACCTTGTTTTTGTTTTACATCTTTATATATATATATATATATATATATATATATATATATATATCATACTGATCAAAGTACCCCGGTTTTATCATCTAATGCCTTCATTGTACCATGGTATCATCACAGTAAAAGTAGAAAAAGGAGAGATAGATGGAGAGAATTTTCTATAGCATGAATTTGGAAATTAAACAGGAAGTAGAAAAGAGGGCGGGTCTGTGAGAAAGGGAATACATAAACAAGTGAGATAAAAGACAGGATAGTCATGAGCAAAACAAGAAATGGTGCCAAATGGGGGTGGGAAATGAAGGCAAGAGAGTAAAGGAGGGATGAGAGATGGAGGGAGTGTAGTGTGGGAGCTCAGGGGAAAGAGAGAGAGAGAGAGGGGGGTGAGATGTTGAGCTTTAGGCTCCTCTGGAGGAATTATCTGTGTTGCCCGTTGGTGTGGTGGAAATACCACAGAGCCTAAAACTAATGCGTCTTTCTGTATACATCATTACTCGGATATCAAGACATTATGATCCTATATAAATTTAAATGCATTCTGAAAGCAGAAAAGAGAACAAATGTATTGGGAAAAAAGCGGTTATCATCATATTCATCAGCATATTAGAATGATTTCTGAAGGATCATGTGACTGAAGATTGGATTAAATGTATTTTATTTACATATTTTGATCCAATAAATGCAGCCTTGGTGAGAATAAGAAACTTGCTCTTTCTGACTGTAAACTTTTGAACAATAGTGTATATGAGTAAACGATGCTTGAGATTGAATACACTGAAAAGGATGATGTGCTGCTACAGTACACTGAGGATGGCTGCGTTTCAAATTTCACTGCAAAGAGCCGGCTGATTTTTTTAGGGTTAATGTACTCTAAATGAGGTTTCTGAACATTGTAAAATGAGGTCAAGTGCTCGAGTGGGGTTAGGTATGTTGTAATGTGTGCTTCTGCTTTGAATTTGAAAGAAAAGCACTTCGAAAGCTCAGCTCTCTGAGTGAGATCAGTAACGATCAATCTAAGGGTTAAGGGAAGGGTAATGTGTGTGGAAATGCGTGTGTGTGGAATAGTAAAGTCCGTTTGTTCACTGTATAATACAAAACAGCTTAGAACAGCACATTTATTTTAAAGGGTGTGTGTGAATATTTGGTCTGCATAAGCTTACAATAGAACTACACCATAGAACATCATATCACTACGTCTTTGTGTGTGTGTGTGTTGTGTATGCGCATGTCTCCTGCTTTCGACCTTGTAGTCGTGAACTTGTTTATAAAAGGCATCATCTGTGTTTTGGTTGATTCTGTCTGAAGCTGTCGCCGCCGGTAAAACTCTTAGGCCCGGACTGTTGCCCATGGCAACGGTTGCCCCTGTTCATATGACACTGCAGCCAGCGAGCAACCAATGAGAGTGTTTTGCTGGCTCAGGGTGACCAGTCAGAGGAGGAGGAAGAGTTGATGTCACTTGTTCTTAGAAAGATACTTGAGTGTATTTACAGGTGACTGTGATGTTAAGAGCCATTTTCTGTTATGTAAAAAGACGACACTGACTCATTGACTCATCACAGTGTACAAGTGTGCATCAAGCCCTTCTCAAAGCAAGCCAGTCCACTCGACAGCCACCTTGGTAATGCTATTTACTGCCGGAACTGTCATAGACACTAAGGGGAGCACTTATAACCAAATATTCAGAAAAAAAAAACTTTTATATAAACTGTTATTGAAGTCCACTGTGAAGTACATCAAAACAGTGAAAATATTACTATTTAAATTAATTGTTTTCTAAAATATAATTTATTCCTGTGAATTTTTCTTCAGCCACCACTTTGATTAATAGAAGCTTCAAAAGATCAGCATTTAAACTATATATTTTTAAACCATATTATAAAATATGTACCACCTTTCCTGTCTATCTCTACTGTGTGATGTGGGCTGCAGAGAGGAAGAGGGTTTGGTGTGTGTGTTGTGGAGCTCTGTATGTGTAATGATCCATGAGAAAAAGGCATGCATGAAAGAGACGCAGAACAGAGGGGATTTGCATATAATAGTGAAGTGATGAGAAAGAATAAAGATGCAATTTTGTTCAGTTTTGTAATGCATGTTTTTTTGTTAAGAGTAGTAATATTTCACAGTAAAATACATATTAAAATAGAAAACAATGATTTTAAATTGTAACATTCACACAATAATATTTCGCAATTTTCCTGTGATGTGTATATGGATGATGTGCTTATATTATAAAAGTATTAAGCAGCATAGCATTTTTTTTTACTTTGAAAATATGATAAATGATTCTTGAGTGACAAATCAGCATATTAGAATGATTTCTGAATGAGGAATAATTGTCATCACAGGAATAATCACAACTTTAATTAAAATATATTAAAATAGAAAAAAGGTTATTTTAAATCATGATAATATTTCACAAAATAAAACTTTTAAATGTAATTTTACATTGTCATACTTCACAGTATTACTGTTATGTTTATATGGTCGATGAGCTTATATGATGTTTAAAGGAGTAGTTCACTTTTATAAAAACTTTTGTTGATAATTTACCCACCCCCATGTCATCCAAGATGTCCATGTCTTTCTTTCTTCAGTCGAAAAGAAATTAAGGTTTTTGATGAAAACATTCCAGGATTTTCTCCATATAATTGACTTCAATGGGAACCAAACGGTTCAAGGTCTAAATGACAGTTTCAGCGCATTCCTGACTCTCCTGACTTGTTCATCAAAATGAACGAATATTTTCCCGAGTCAACTCGTTCATTTCGATCGTTGAATGAACCAAATGACACAAAAAAGATTCGTTTATTTTGATAAATGAGTTTGAACAGTAGAGTCACGAACACGCGTCACAGAACAGAGCAAGGCGAGCATTTGAGCTTATAAAACTTAATCTTTGTTTTTTTTTTTGAATGAGTGATCATTTCACTTGATAAGACCCTTATTCATCATCTGGAATCGTTTAAAGCCCTTTGAACAGTTTGCAGTTTGCACTGAAACTGTCTTTTGGACCTGTCTTTGGTTCCCATTGAAGTCCATTATATGGAGAAAAATCCTGGAACGTTTTCATCAAAAACCTTCATTTCTTTTCGACTGAAGAAAGAAAGACATGGACATCTTGGATGACATGGGGGTGAGTAAATTATCAGCAAAAGTTTTTTTTTTTTTTTAAAGTCAACTACTCCTTTAATTGAGAGGGAAAGAGATTGAGAGAACAGGGCAGGAAAGTGATCAAAAAAAAAAAAAAAAAAGGTTCCAAAAGGATCTTTTTTTAGCATACTTGCATTGCATTATGAATTGTATTCGGACACATTTCCAAACGCGAAATCAAGCTAGCATACATTAGCTAGTAGAAATATATTTTAAAGTATGTCATTGAGCCTCCGTCTTGACTTTAATCGCTTATTTTACGTTAAAATATATGCATTATGACCAAAGAACCGTCAATATTTCCAAGCAATAGGTGTTTTTGTTAATCATGTCGACATTTGGTTGTAAATGGGTCTCCCACACTACTTGATTACACCCATCATTTCTCCCCTCGGCTTTTAAATTTTCGGGAAGGAAAAACAATTCCACTCCCCCATCCAAACTTTTAGGATACTGGGTATCAGATTTGCACAATCCATACGCACAATACTTCAGCATGTTTCCCTCGCTTGAAATCTTGCCAGACCTCCCGCGCCTAGCTACGGTTGCTAAGACGTGGCTTAGCGAAGGGTCAATTCCAAGAAAGTGCAGATGGGAGTGGAAAGTTCTGCGCGTGAATGACTTATGGAGAGTCAAATAATAGACTTATGGGACTGTAAATAATGGCACAAAAACCAGTAAATTGATGAGCGCAAACCTTAGCAAATCCCCTTTCATGATTCATTTAAATACACTCCTCCCATAAATTTTGCATCTGAAAGGCTCCAACAAATCCATATGCGATAAGGTCAGCCGCAAAAACAACCCTGTCCACTCCCTTTCAGCGCTAAGTTTTCACTGCGTGTCTTTAGTAAACCCTGACAGCCAAAAGAGGGTTTGCACTAGTAAATCTGGCCCTTAGTGTTAACATATTACATGTACACAAATATTTACCATCACATTTGTCTGTTTCCTTCCCGCTCTTCCCCGTGCTGAGCCCAGTGTTGACGGTCTCAGAGGAAGTGCTGAGTTTGGTGTTGGGATCTCGTCTGGGTTTGGGCGGGGGCTGTTTTCGTGAGGTTGGACTCCCCTCCTCCTCTCCCCCTCCCACCGAGTGCAGAGACTGTGAGCGTACGGTGAAGCCCAGGCCGCAGGGAGGAGGAACGCGGTCCTGAGGGGCCGGCATCGTCATGAAGCCCATGCGAAAGTGTTTGCCTGCGTATCCCCCTCCTTCTGTCGCACGGGCCACATCCTCACCAATCCTGAAGGCAGATTGAATTCATTTTAGCTTTTCACATAGTATTACATTTGTATCCGCCCATCTATGAACTGTTGATCCCATATACTTGCTAAACCAGATGGATTTCAGCATCCATCAGACCAACGTTCCAGAATAGAGAACTTGTTTTCGTTTCACCAGTACAGATGTTATTCTGTACTAATCCAACATTCATTCATGTGAATGAATACAGCACTCAAGCAAACATGAACATAGTATGGGTCAGAGCATTGGTGTTGAGGTTTAGGACCTGAAAAATCCTCATGCAAATGAAATTGAGAATGTAGGACATGTGTTGTGGCCTAAACCCTGAAATGAACTTGTATTACTATGCTATACTATACTACACTACTCTACTGTAAAAAATATTGTTGGTTTAACTTAAAAAATTAAGTTATTTTAAGTTGATTGAAATGGAAAAAGTGAGTTAATACAATGAAGGAGATTGATTTAATCATCAGAAACTCTAAATAATAAATTATCTGAACTAAATAAATTATTTAAGTTGATTTGAAAAAAAGAAAAAATGTGATAACAAATCTTGGAAATATTTTTTTTTTCAGTGAAAAAAATATATGTATGTATATTGTATGTTGTAAAAATGTCTAATATATACTACAGTATAGCAGTATAATATATACTATACTATACTATAGTATATATATACTATACTATTATATGCAATATACATACATTTTTACAACACCGTTCAAAGGTTTGGGGTAAGTTCTTTAAAATATACCTTAAATTGATCAAAAGTGACAAACACATTTATGATGTTACAAAAGATTTCTATTTTTAAAAACATTTTGTTCTTTTGAACATTTCATCAAAGAATCCTGAAATATTAAGTGGCATATCTATTTTCAGCATCAAATCATCACATTAGAGTGATTTCTGAAGGATCATGTGACACTGAAGACTAATGTAATGATGCTGAAAATACAGCTTTTTGCCATATTAAAATAGAAAACAGATATTTTAAATCGTAATAATATTTCACAATATTATTGACTTACTGTATTTTTAATGAAATAAATGCAATCTTAAATGTAAGAATGTTACTGAGGAAAGGCGAATTCACTTCGTCCATCTTTCTGTTCCCTCATAACTTCATGAATCTATCTTGCCTAAAAGTAATTTCTGCATAATCCAATTCAGAGCAATTTGGCTGGATTTTAAGATGATTTTTGCGCCGAATATCTCATAAAAATTTAGTTACTTTCATCTGTCTGTTCATGAGTAAGTGTGTGTGTGTGTGAGAGAGAGAGAGAGAGAGAGAGAGAGCGAGAGAGAGAGAGAAACGGGGGCAGTCAGTTCAAATGCTGTCTCTCAAATTTTCTCTCTCTCTCTGAGGAAAACTAATCATACTAAAGGGCAGACAGGATTTACTCACGTTCTCTTTAAGTAACCATTCACTCACTCTCACACACACACACACTGCGAGTGTGTATTCAGAGGGGAGTGTGTGGTGCTGTGGTGGCTCATAAAGAATGATTGAGAGTCTGTCTGCCAACTTCACTGCACCAGCGTCCCTCATTTTTCCACATCCTCTCTCCTTCTCTATTTCCATCCTTTCATACATGTGTTGTCATCCGTCTTGTCTTTCTTGTACAGTCTGCAATTTTTTCCTCCCTCTCAGTTGTCACACTTCTCACAGTCTTGAGTGGCCAGTCATTTGAGTCATGCCTTTTTCCGCACATCTCTTTTCACATTACATTAAAATGCTGATTATGCCGATTAATGTGATGAAACAATTAACATTGCAATGTCATGACAAAAACAAAAACACAAATTGAGGCTTCAGTTGAAAGACCAAATGCCTTTTACTAAACATTTTGATTTCAAGAATGCTAAAATAAATGTGTCATGGTTTCCACAAAAATATTAAGCAGCACAACTATTTGCAACATTGATGATAATAATAATAATATCAACAATAAATGTTTCTTGAGCAGAAAATTAACATATTAGAATGGTCAGCACTGGATTATAAGTGTGCTTTAGAAAAAAATGTGCCTTGCCTAATGATTTCTGAAGGATCATGTGACACTGAAGACTGGACTAATGATGCTGAAAATGCAACTTTAACGTCACAGGAATAAATTGTATTTGACAGATATATTCAAATTAGGGATGGACAACGATTAATCGCGATTAATCGCATCCAAAATAAAACTTTGTGTTCACGTAATATATGTGTGTGTGGTGTGTATAATTATTTTCTATATATAAATACACACACATGCATGTATATATTTAAGAAATATTTACATGTATATACTTTATATATATTCATACATAATTAATATTATGTATAAATATAAATATTTGATATATTAAGAACACATTTTTCTTAAATATATGCATGCATGTGTTAGTATTTATATATACAAAATAATTATACACATCACACACACATATATCATGTAAACACAAACTTATATTTTGGATGCGATTAATCGTTGCCCATTCCTAATTCAAATTGATGGTTATTTTAATATTTCACACATTACTGTCTAAATTAAAAGTACCAATCCAAAACTTTTGAACAGTGGTGTACACTAGTATGCTTTTTTTGTATAACAGAAAGAGACTAAACCACATAAGACTGACATGACACCTTCAGAACCATGACATATGCCTTGAATATGAAGTAGGGTTTATGCATGTTTGACAACTGTCATTAAGTGTCTTTCGCTCAATAGTGACATTTTGAATGCAAATATGACATTGTTTAAGATGTCTTCGTTATGACATCTTGACATAAACCATAACATCATAACCCGTCAGTGTCTTTGTCATGACATCTTGACATTAAATTAAGTTAAACTGTCATGTGGTTGGCTTTGACATTGGCTGTCATGAGGCATTATAACCGTATAACCATTACAACTACAGTGGTACTAATTGAATTTGTCATTAAAAAGTTATAAAGGCTTCATGACAGGCAATGTTAAAACCAACCACCGTTTAGAGTTTAATGTAATGTTAACCAAAAAACTAGATGGTTTCTCAAGTTTGATCATTAATCTGCCATGTCATGTTTATGACAGGTTGTGTTGTCTTAGTAATGTTGTTGTCATGATGACAAAGACACTGACAGGTTATGTATTGCTTTATGTCAAGGTGTCATAACAAAGACATCTCAAACAATGTCATATTTGCATTAAAAATGTCATAACTGAGCGAATGACACTTAATGACAGTTGTCACAAACAGGCATAAAAACTTCATATGTCATGATTATAAAGGTGTCATGATAGTCTTATGCACACCCCTTCAAGTAAAGTGTTACCAAAACAAGTAGGTTGTCCTTCAAACCGCCCTGTCTTAAAAGCTTACACATTCCTCTTTTATCCTCAGAAAAATATGCTGCATCATTTCAGTAGGCTAGCTCTCACTGATGGATGATCGCATTAGCACACTACTATTCCTGCTGACAACACCAGCTTAGACCAGCATGAACTCCTACAGTATGTTGGCCCAGGCTGGTTTATAATGGCTAGTTCGGTGCTTGTCTGTGTGCTGTGTGTGAGGTTTCGCCTATAGGTTGTGTGGAGCAAATGTCCCCCACAATGTAGTAAAACCAGAAATCCCTTAAATTATGGGAAGCAGCTAATGGAAAATATCTTAAAGGGATACTCCCCCAAAAATGAAAATTCTGTCATCGTTTATTCACCCTCAAGTTGTTGCAAACCTCTATTTTGCTGAACACAAAGGAAGATATTTTGATCTATCGTTCTTCAAAATATCTTCCTTTGTGTTCAGCAGAAGAAAGAAACTCGTACAGGTTTGCAACAACTAGAGGGTGAGTAAATGATGACAGAATTTTCATTTTTGGGGGGAGTGTCCCTTTAATAAACATAATAAATACTTCTTGAAAATGAAAATAAATCTTAATGAAAATGCTGAAAGGTTTGTGTGAGGGATTAAAGGTAGAGGGTTAGGGGATATAAAATATCACTCACTCAGTATAATTCAATAGATGGATTTATATGGAACGTCACTTCCATGACAGAATATCCGACGTGTGTGTGTGTGTGTGTGTGTGTGTGTGAAGGGTTAAAGGTCATGAGAATAGCAGTTAAGCTTGGATTTCTAAAGCTAATGGATTTAATGGAAAGTGTTAGCAGAGACTAGTTTGCCTGTAAACGTAGATACAGGGGATGCATTGATTTTTGCATGCGACAATGAACACAAAATATGATGAAAATGTGTGAAATATATTAACAGTATAGACGGTTTTATCTTTCTGTTTCAAACAAAGAATAGTCTCAATGGACGCAGAGAGAAGCAGGTATGCCTGAAGCCGCTCTGTGTGTGTGTGTGTGCCGTACTGTGTTATATTTGTCTGTATTGATCAGAGCTCAGTAAATAAACTTTGCCTGTCCAGCGGTTCATACCCATCAGCCCTGCTCTAGTACATCAACCTCTCATCCTTGTCTCCAATCTTTATCCTGCTATATGTTTTCCTTGCATGCTTTGAGTCATTTTTAAATATTTGTGTCAGCCTCTCTCTTTCTTTTCCACCCCCTTCACCTTTTTTGTCTCGTCTTTTCATCCAGAGACAGCTCTCTAAAGTAATATGACTGTTATCCTCTCTCATCCCTCTACCAGGGTAATGCATCAGAGTGACCTTTTCTTGACCTTTACTGATATGTCAATGCCCATGTTACTGATCTGAGGATGTCTGTAGATTGTTTCCTCAAAGACTAGCATTTTACCATTTGTTTTGTTGTTGATGTTTACGTCAGGTCGCAGGGACACTGTTTATGACAGCGTAGACGATACCATTGACTGCGGTTTGCATTAGACACTAAACTGCTTTCAGGGCTTCTGGCTGCTGCTATGGCAACCATGTCAAAACTATTTCCAGGGAATTTATTGAACATGAATTGCCATTAATATCTGGAAAGCTGTGTTAGACAGTTCACCCACTCCCTCTACAATATAGTAAAGATGCAAACACACACACACTAC